AGATCGCCGTTCGACGTCCCAGTGACCTCTGTACTCCCCATCTACTTCTACAAATTCAAACTGAAAGAAAAGACGTTCTCTGAGCTGACCACGGCGCTGTCCCGCCTGCACAAGCTGGTGTACGTGAGAGACCCCTACTCCCGCCTCTACTCCGCCTTCGTCGACAAAATCATCGCCCCGAACCCTTTCTTCTGGCGGCTCTGGGGCAAACCGGCCATACAGAGGTACCGGAAGTCGTCGGGGCAGTCTTGCGGACAGGATATGACGTTCTCCGAGTACATTTCTCTGACGGTGGACTCGGAGTGGAAGACAGACGTGCACATGCAGCCCGTGTACCACTACTGCCCGCCTTGCATCATGAACTTCACCGTCATAGGCAAGATGGAGACGTTCCAGCGAGACGCCATGAAGACCGCGTCCTTGCTCAACATCTCCGAGAAGCAAATCGCCTTCGACAGAATGGAAAAGGATGCTGTTGACGACGCGATATTCGACTCGGCCAAAGACTCGCTCTCGGACAAGTGGCTCAAGCCATCTCTCAAGTGTGTCAGCAGGGACCAGGTGATGAGGAGGATTTTGAGGAAAGTCCAGCTTCGCGGAATCGTCAGCTGGAGATTTAAGTACCCGTACTCGAGACAGGAATCCAAGATGGTGAGTCTGGATAAGTACGTGCGAGTCTTGACGGAGGCCCGGGATCGATACCTCAACAAAACCGAACTAAAGATACAAAAGAAACAAGCGTACCTAGAGGCTTTCTATAGCGTGCCGCAACCGGTTCTGCAGAAACTGGATGACATTTACAAACTGGACGCTTTGTTTTTCGGATACGAGAAGGTGGGGAACCGGTTTAAGACGGGGAACCGATTACCTCTCGTGCACACCGGGGCGTTTGACCTGACCAGGGAATGGGATCTGTCTCCCGTGTTGTGATGACACATTTGTGATGACGACACACCTACACGTTTGTGATGACACATTTGTGATGACATACACAGACTTTGTGACAACACACTACACAACTACACATCTACACTTTGTGACAACACACCCAGACTTTGTGACTACATACCTACACGACGACAAACCTACACTTTGTGACTACACACCTACACGACAACACACCAAACTTTGTGACAACACACCCAGACTTTGTGACAACACACCCAGATTTTGTGACTACACACCTACACGACGACAAACCTACACTTTATGACTACACACCTACACGACAACTACACTCCCAGACTTTGTGATAACACACTACATATCTATTAATTCTATACGACGACACACCCAGACTTTGAGACAACACTGCCAGACTTTGTGACAACACACTACACATATATACGACGACACACCCAGATTTTGTGACAACACATCTACACGACAACACACCCGGACTTTGTGACAACACACTTTGACTTTCTTGTGTGAGCTGGTTGTTTTAGAAATGCAAGAGTGAATATTTATTTTTATATAATATAATTTTTATATTATATAGATATTAATTTATATATGTATGTGTGTGTGTGTGCGTGCGCGCTTGTGTGTGTGTGTGTGTGTGTGTGTGTGTGCGTGTGTGTGTTCATATAAAACCGTCGTGTGTGTCAATCTGACAATGGGCCTGTACTGCTCTAATCTATTCCGTCCTGGTTCATTCTGCTGCTTACAGGTCTCGTCTGTTGGTACCACTCTTAGTTTTAGTAAGAGTTTTACGGCACTTACAACACAGTTAGGTCATATAAGTGCCGAAGATTAGTAGAGGTGTTACAAGAGAGTAACAAACTCAAAAAAAGGAGGGGAAATAAAGACGATAGATGTTTGATAGGAAAGAGAAAGCAAACCACACCAGAGTACCCGCCAACCACCCACTGGTACCAAACTGCTCTGGTGCAGATGTCCCTGGTTCGGACCCCCCCCCCCCCTGTGCCCTTGAACTGTGACAGAGCTGTTCACAAAGTTTTCAAGGCTGTTCGCCTATATCATGTAAAAAAAGAAGAAGTAAAGTTGTTCCCACATCCGATCCGGACATTGGGGATTGTTTTATTAGAATTAGTGAGACAACTTCATGGGTCTTCGGCATATTGTGGTAGGGTGGCCAGTTCCTTTCCACGCCGCCTTTACTTCCCCAACTCGAAGTCAGGTACCCATTACTGCAGGGTGGGCGGGAGGGGGCGAAAAAATCCCGTGTCCGAACCGAGGCTCGATCTCGGACTTTCCGCTTCGGAGACTGGCGCAGGAACTGCTGTGACACTGCGCCCTATATGATGTGCAGTATTTATGATCAATGTCTCGATCTCCTATCAGAGATAGGCATCCGTTTTGGAAGTCCCACCTCATAAGTGACTTATTTTGATAGTTCTTCATTGTAAATACGTCATGCATTGTGTCTGAGTCTCTCCAAGGTCTAGGTTTCCAGGGATGTTTTTGTGGGTGGTGCACATTCATAGTACTTTGAAACTTGATGCTTGATTTTCATATCATATAATGGCCGTTTTTTCCCTCCCCCTCCCTCCACTGACTCATTATTGCCATACTTTCCCCAAATCGCTTGTCCATCCAGGAAGTGGAACATCTTCAGTACTTAGAGGAGACTACACTCAGCTCTGACCTGGCTCAGGGCTTTGCTCTCAAGTCTCTCACAGGTGAGGAGGGTCATTCTGCCTTTTGAAAATAGTCCCTGCTTTTTTAAAGACATTTATAGTATGCTATTCAGAACTCAATAGTTAGTCATCTTCATCATCATCATCATTTGAATCACCAGTAATAGTAGCAGCAGCACCAGCTATAGCATCAACAAAACCACTTAAACATTTTCATTTTCAATTCTGTTATTGTTATCCTCACCTTTTGATTTTGACCTTTATTTTGCCTTTTTGGTATCCCTCTGACTCATAATAATATTTAGCTACTAAAATGTTTCTGCACCTGGACAAATAAAACCGGGATGGGTTACAAAAAGTCAACTCAACTCAAGTCACATGGCTCTTGTACATATCAACATATCACTGTCTGGGACAAGGCTAGAGGATGGAAGTCCATAAGCTGCTGTATTGAAAAGAGCAATAGTTGAACTGAATTGATTTCAATGCCTTGAGAATGTAAAATGTTCTATTCTATTGCTTCAGCCATGTTTTATGTTTCTGTAGTAACACCCAAAAAAAGTGAGATACAGCGAATTACTCTGTAGAATCATTTTGCCAACGATTATTTGCATCTGTGTATAGCGTTACAGGGTAGTTCATTTATCTTGATTCTGAAAACCAATTTCTTGTGTGCTTCTTTATAGTCTGCTATTCTGCTATTTTCCATCTTATGAAGCATTTTATTGTGCCATTTCTCAAGGATGAAACATTTTTTCCCAATATGAAAATCATGTTGTTTTAAAATTACTCATACATTTCTTTTGTGTGAACTCTTCCGCTCTGTCCCTATCTGTCAATGTATCTATAGCTTTCTCCTTCTGTCAGTCTGTCTGCATGTTTGTCTGTCTGTCTGTCTCCTTCCTTCCTTCCCTTCCTCTTTTTTTTTCCATGTCTCTCTCTAACTCAGTATGTCACTGTCACTTTAGTAGTGCTCTGTATAAAGCATCTCATTCTCTCTTTCCCCCCTTCCCCTTTTCCAGAGCTACTGGCTCTGTTCATCGAGCAGGAGAACCTGAAACAGCATTACAAGAACAGGCTGGTGGGCCATGTGCTCAACGGCTACTTGTCACTGCGCAAGCTGGTGGTGCAGAGAACGAAGCTCATCGATGACACGCAGGAGAAACTGCTGCAGATGCTGGAGGAGCTAACCACAGGTCAGAACTGACCCTACAGACCCTGCCCCTTTTTGCTGACTCATCTATCGGAACTTTTTAAAGTTTTAGATAAATTTCACTTTGGTTTTACCCCTGAAAATTACAAGTAAATTATTTTTTTACATCTATCAGACCGTATGTGATTAACAGTAAAGGGCTTGGGGAAATATGTCATTGTTTACATGCTATATATTTTATACCCAAGTTCCCTTTCCTAAAATTTTTCTTTGATCCAATGAAAAATTTGAATGTTGCTTGTCATAATAATGCGGCACAGCAATGGAGTAAGTCCGTTTATTTTCTTTCTATGAGAGCCTACTTGAGTACCACTTCCTCATCCTTATTACACTTATGTTTTTGTTCAAATGTTAGATATCTTGCAGATTTTTTTCTTATTCTTACACTTCCAAACAAGTAAAATAATTTCCTTAAGTTGGTTTTCATATCATTGCTTCACTTATACTCTATGAATAAATATATGTTTCTTCTGACTTGACCTGTTTTCCAGGAACTGAATCAGAAACCAAGGAATTTATGGCTGTGTGTGTGAAGACCGTCAGGAACTATCCTCTGGAAGACTACAGGTCACCTGTGTTCATCTTTGAGCGCTTGTGCAGCATCATATATCCGGTGAGTAGTGTCATGAGTTGTTGGAAGGTGCCACTGGCAATTTTCCTTTTATGCTGTCCCTCTGTAGTTTCTGTCTTGTCCCTTTTGTTTTTCTCAATACTTGATAACTGTTTCTCTGTCGAAGCGATTCTCTTTGACTCCAACAAATAAAAGCTTAATGGTGATACCCGAGACTTTCATCTCTAAATACTAGCCACTTTATTATTGTTGTCATAAATGCTAGATTGCGTGTGACAAGTTTTGAACTTTGACCAACTATCACAGGAGGAGAATGATGTGGCTGAGTTTTTCCTCATCCTGGAAAAGGACCCTCAACAAGAAGATTTCTTGCAGGGAAGAATGCTTGGCAACCCATATAGCTGCAACGAACCTGGCATGGGCCCACTCATGAGAGACATCAAAAATAAAATTTGCATGGGTGAGTTTGTATATTTCATATCTACATTAGAATTTTTCCTGGATAAGCAGGACTTTTAGTAATGGACATTATAAAAACAGTGAATTGCCGAGCTTGGTTATATATAATTTTGTGAATAAATTTCAATGCTTCATAACCTTTTTAGTTTTTGTCAGAAATTCTACTTGCTTGCTTGACTTTTTATTAGACTTAATCTTAAATGAAAGAACAAAAGTGTTAATCTTCCTTAAAAAGAGAAGAATTGGACATAATCCTTTCTGGCTCTTTGTCAACGAAATCTTCTTGAAGTTCTTGGAGTATGTGATTAAAATGTGTTCTTGTTTTATCCCTTAGACTGTGAGCTGGTTGCACTTTTAGAGGACGACACAGGCATGGAGGTAGGCACAGTGGTTAAACTTGTGCAATGTAAAGTGATCTTGATAATATTGCAACAACTGTGTTGTGGGTCGTTTTGAATAGCAGAAACATTTGTTATAGGAACTGATGGCAAAATGTTTGTCCCCAGACCTTTGTATGGTGTCTTTTGTGTGTTAAAAAATGTGTTAGTTCTTTTGT